TACACAGCAAAATAATTGTTTTACTTCTGTCGCCTTGAAACTATTTTTAGACTTAAGCATGTTAGCTCTAAAAACATAGTTTGCTTTGATCAGCTAAGGTGATACCATTTATATAGACACCAATGACAGGGTTGCTTGTAGATCAATCACTAAGACCAACGAGAGTTTATGCAATTTAGCCTTGTGCTGTGAAGTGAAACTTTGTTCTTTTATCTGGCTGGCTTGGCACAGGATTGTACAGATGGCTGGTAATACAGAGGTTTTAGACTTCTGAAACTGGACAGAGGAGGAGTTTTAAGTATTTGGATTTGAAGTTCTGATTCCTACACGCCTGCTCAGCAGACTCCAAATTCTTATAGAAACCCCTTCCTCTTTTTAACTCTCCTGTTTTTCTTGCTTTCCCCATATTTTGTGTAGCTGACTCCTTGAGAATCCTGATACAGGGGGTTTACACAGACCATGTTGAACAGAGTAAGTATAGTCTAAAAGAGTATTTTTTTTTTTTTTCTCCAGATTTATTTAATTGTTATCACTTTCTGCAAGGAGAAGGGACAGCAAGAGAGCTTGGGTAAAGTGGCCAACACTCGGGCAGAACATGTCACTTCATATTTGTACTGCAAAACTTACATAACTCCAGCTGAAATACAAAATTCCTTTTAGACACAGGAATCAGAAAGTAGGAACTAAGAGAGGAGCTCAAATTAGCATGAACATTTACTTACTAGTCAAATAAGCAGTAAAAGAGTTTCCCAGCTCCTTGTTTACCCTATGCTTAATAAAGGGTGAGATAACGAATTAGAACAAATTGCTTATTAACAGGCAACAGCTTTGTCAAGGGGATGTGTTGTCATGAACTACCAGAATGAGGTATAGATGTCTATAAAAATGTCAGGTCCAAGCTGTAGCCAGAGCTTAGAGATTAGTTTATAATCACTTCTGTATTATACAGTGAATAGTTTTTACAAGTAAATGACATGCCATTCAGTCCTGCTGTAATTAAAGAATGCTAATGAGACGTGCCAGGCAGTGCTCTGCTGTGCAATTATACCAATTCTTAAAATGATGTGTGGCAGGCAGCAGAATGAATGCAGGGTAGACATACAGACCACCAGCAAGAGCTCAGGAGTCTGGGAAATCCTGAGCTAGTACAAATACATGAATAAGTAATTGAATTCTGATATCAATTGGTATGCTGATAGAGACAGAAAAAAGTGACTCAGCAAAGGCTTTGTGTGGTGTTGCACACAAAAATATTTCTGCTCTCCTGTCAAGATGACTGATTTAGCCAGAAATTAATTTTTAAGGAGAAACAGGGCTATCCTGTAGTGTTTTAGCACTGTCAGAGAATCACTTAAAAGGCATTTTACAGATTCAGCTGTAACTGCTGGTTGTTGGCTTTTACGTATACAACATAATATTTTTTTTTTCTGCCTGTACCATAAAGCAGGAAATATTTTTTATAACATAACATTTTTTTTTCTGCCTGTAGATGTTATTATTTCACTGGTAAGTCCAGGCTGGTTCTTGTCTGTCTGTCCTATTCCAAAGCATCAATTGCATTTGTATACACAGCCAGTCTGATAGTGTGCCTCTAAAATTTCCTCTTACTTCTTTGCTACAATGAATTTCTCTCAGATCCATTTCTTCATGGAATATGCAGAAATCTTTCATTTCTTTGAAGCATGCATTTGATCTCATTTTCCCAAGGCCATAGGTTTGTGACTTAGTTCTTTGGACAATGCCTGTACAGCGTCAGGCCAAGAGAGCCATTCTTCAGCCCAAATATTGTAGTTTTTGACCACAGCCTTCCTTGTGCTGGCAAACCATGTTCTCTGTTAATAGAAATAGAAGGAGGGTGGGAAAGGGAAACATGAAGTTGCCAAAAATTTATTTCATACTTTCACAAGATTTCTACCCCTCCTGCAAGTCTTCATTTGTTTCCAGAAGCCAGAAAAGAGGAAATGATCAGAAATCTTAAATGATATTTTGTTTTGAATTATGAATCATTAATCTATTTAGTTGATGAACATTTTATTAAATAAAGAACATAAGATATTTATAATTTTTACTCTGCTTGGGAGAAAATAAATCCAGGAGAGGTGCTTCCTGGAGCACAAGGCACATTGCTTGCAGCTGAAGTTTACACGCAGATCTCCAACTTCTTACTGAAAAGTGGAATAACTGCAGCAGGGCAGTCTTCTCTGGCTGCAGGCTCGCTGGTACATGGAAAGAAAATCCCTTATTTAGGCAAGACATCCTCAAATGGCAGAAGTGAGGGTAGCAGGATCATATTGAAATGAGGGGAGAGGGTGTTTCCTTGATATTTAGTATGTGACTTTTCCTGTGGTCTCGGGCTCAAAGGCAGCACTTCCCATGCCAAGTAGTGACAACCATGAAAGTTGTGTGGAGCCAAAATAAGTGTGCTCAGTGTCACTGCTGTGCCTGGTCCTCAGCACCATGGAAAATTGTGGACAAGATATAGTTTTATAGGGGGAAGGACTGTAAGCCTGCAGGTATTTTTTTGCAGTAGATCTATGCCAATATAGAAGTACATTTGTCTTCAGTTCTGAAAGAATTACACCTGTCAACAACTTACCTTTCCCAAAGTTTGTGAGCCTGTTTAAGCTTGAGTCCCCTCACACTTGCTGAAGGCCTTAGTTTAGCACATGCTACTGGGATGAAAACCCACATGAAACAAAGACCAAGCTTCAGTCTGACCCATACTGCAGTCAGAGGCATTTTCCAATGATTTTCTTTATCTTGCCCCTATTTTTTCTATGCAGGAGTACCTGGACATATCCACATTGGGTGCATTGTACCTGATTCCAAACTAAAACATATACTTTGGAAACTTCATTTTATATTGTTAGCTGTCTTCTAAAAGAAGTCAGTTGATCCCTTGCCTTGCTGACTTCAGCACTAAATTTCCTTGCCATTGCTGGAAACCAGGTAATACCTCTACACTTGGAAGCTGTTTCCGTAAATAACATGGAACCATTACATCTTCTTTCAGAAGGGAAGTTAACAATCTAAGGAAGTGGTTTGTAACTGGATTTTTTTATCAGCCTGCACAATTATTCTGTCAAGCTAGTTCACAAGCTTGTTCCTTGGTGTTGATTTTGCCCAGATGGGATGTAATCAGAATGCAGGCTGGTCGTATTAATTCTGAGGAGCCTGGTAGTTATGCAGATGTTTATCTTGAACATGTGATTTGTCCTTTTTTGGTATTTGTCCCTTTACTGAGTAGTATCACATGTCTGAAGATCTGTGGAGATAAAACCAGGGGTAGTTATCTTGGGGGCACCAGGATGTACTGGGGGTGCCAGGATAGAATGTATTCTTTTTACTCAGTCTGCTCTTTGTTGTTCCAAAACCAGGACCGGGTTTCCTCACAACATCTTTTCATCAGAGCTCCACACTGCTCAAATCTAAGGCTGCATTCTCCTAGGACAGGATCATTTTTTTCCTGCCTCCAGGGTCACCCTGACAAAAACTGCTGACCAAGCCAGAGTACCAACAGGTGTTAGTTCTTTTCAAAGTACACATTTTTCCAAGACTATATATTAAGTGATGGAGAAAAGGTGCTTTGTGACCTTTGTGAGGTGCTGACGCCCATCCTAGTAAAATTTAGGCACTCTAAATTCACATAAATTATTATTTTTATTGGGCTTTTTTAAAAAATGAAAGGTGTGTGTTTTATGATGCTGACCACATAAACCAATGCAGAATTTTAGACATCTGCAGTCTCACTCAAAACTGAAATAATGCTGAAGAATAGCTTTAAAAGTATAGCTGTCCCTTGCTAACAGAAAGAGAAAAGACAAGGTCCTGGTATGAGGTCTGGCTGGGATGGAGTTCCTATCAGCCAGAATGATTGATAAATCTATTAGGTTAGGTTTTACTTAAAGGTAGAAATCCAGTGTCTGGTTGTACAATTAGGCTGTGTTACTTAAGCATTATAATATATATTCCAGTTTAGATGAGGGTATTTTCCAAGTACAATATTGTAATACTTTAAGCATTCTAAATTATTTTACTATAATTGCTCTTCTACACAGGCTGAACTCTGAGGGGATAATATTACTGTCTATTGTAGAAGAGTTAGTTGCATTGCCTACTGGGCTTGCAAACAGCATACATGTGAAAATAAGAGATGGAATAGCACAAAGAGTACCTAGATAAATCAGTTCTACCGAAGTCTAGAGGAATTCTGGAGAAATCAAATATGGAAAGTATTTGCATGGAGTGTTTCTGTGGGTGACAGATTGGTAGAGAGAAGATTCTTGGTCAGGTGTGAGAAGTATGATACTGATTATGTGGATTATGTGGATACTGATTATTATTAGGTTTATTGCTTATACAGTATCTAAATATTGCCAGTGCAGTATCTAATACAAGCAGGTCGAGAGGATTATAATATAAGCAGGTTTGGCTAGAAATACAGCTTTTTTACAGTATTTGGCCTTGCAGAATACACAAATAAAGCACCTAAGGAGCTACTTTAGGATTTTATCTCTGTATGTGATCAGACCTCAGAACTTTTACTCATCCATCCAAAACTGAGTGTTCTACATCTTCAGGCTGGATGTACCCTGCAGACATCCCTATCAAGGGAAATATCCACCAGAAGCTGCCTGCAGCCTCAGGAGACCAGTTTGTCCAGTAACACTTTATAACCTTTTGCAGGCAGATGTGTACCAAAGTCATTCAACACAGCTCCTCCATTCCTGGAATATATTCATTACGCAACTGTCCGGACCATTCCTTCTGCAATTCCCTCCCGATATTCTTACCTTAGGATGGATCAGACTGCCCATCAGAGACAGCAAGGGTGTTTTTGTGTGTGTGTGTGTGTGTAGGACAAACAAAAAGACTTGGCTGTCTTTTGTTGCAGTCACACTGGGATGGAACTCGTATCAGTGAAGCTGTGCTTTGCGCTTGTGACAAAAACAGTGTTGATAATACACCATTGTTTTGGCCAGTGCTGTGCAGTGCTATCACAGCACCAAGGTTTCCTTTCCAAACCACTCCTGCAAAGGCCAGTAGGCTGGGGATAGGCAAGAGGTGTGAAGGGGCTGCTGGGCCAGCTGACCCCAGCTGACCAAAGGGATGTCCCATACCATATGATGTCGAGCTCAGCAGTAAAATCTGGGGGAAAGGAGGAAGAAAGGAAGACATTTGTGGTTGTTCTGATTGTTATGGTGCTTGTTTTCCCAAATAATCATTGTGGATGCTGCAACCCACCTTTACTGTAAGAGGCTGAACATCTGACTGCCAATGGGAAACGGTGAATGAATTATTTTTGCTTTGCCTGTGTGCAGCATTGTCACCCTGAGGATCAGGCCTTTTGATATAGTTTTCTTAATTTCTAGCCACTTTCCCAGGAAAGTAACTATAAACATAGGTGTTTATACATTCCATTAAAGATATGCCTTTTGATAAATGTCTCTCATGGCCAGTGTGGTTGGGAAGGTGGTAGCCTAACTATCCAATCCCTGGTTGTTGTCAAAAACCTATAAATACTAAAAGAACAAATTAAACTTCCTTCTTCTTTCATCACACTTCGAGCTGCGTCTGTGTGAATCATTTTGTGTCTGACAGTGACACAACACTTTTGCTTTTCTTATTAAAATGTCATTAACTTGACCCATCAGTTTTCTAACCTTCCTGATATTTTCTTCAGATACCACAGCAGGGGGGTGCAGGGCAAATGTCAGGCTGGATTTTTGTCTGCTAATCAGGCCCAACCTACCATTGTACAACAAAGCTGAATTTTAGGAAGCTACTGTTTCTAGAAATTATGTTTTTAAGGCACCTTACTAAAACTGATATTAAATCTGACTTTTAAAAAATTATCTGTTTGGCAGTCCTTGAAAATCAGATCCCTCTTAAAATCCTGCAAGTATTAACAAGTATATAAAGCCACTTCCATTAGCTGCTAAATTTATTCACAGATGGATATTTGAACAGCAGTGTGTACCACAAAACAAGGAGTAACATGATAGCAAGATGAGCAAGTTTGGAAGTCTGTAAGTTAAAAAGCTAAAGGTAAGATTATTGCTAGTGACTACCTTTATATAATGTACTTGTGCTCCACTCACTGAGTAGTAACACAACGTGATTTTTCACAGCTTCTGCAGATGTGTCTCTTCGCAAGTATGTGTAATTATTAGAGTGATCTACTTCATCACAGCTAAACATCTTAAGTTTTTGCTGCCTTGAGACCCAATTAAACACTTGTGGCATGTAGTGAAGATTCTGTTTATCAGTGCATTACTTCAAGTTTCAAAATTTGGTGGCTGTGCAATTAGTGTAATGAAGTGACAAGTTGGAGTGCAGCATCATTATGACTTGTTATTGTGGAGGCAATTAACAGTGGATGGGAAAGGTGCTAATTGCTGTAGCTTTTTGAAATGTACCACTTAGTTTCTCACCTTTGATAAGTTTAGAGAAGAAATTAGATTTTTTGGGGGAGTTTGGTAATGTGGGTTCAGCATTAACTTCAGCAGTGTAGGCAGTTTTGTAGCAAATTTGTCCTTGATACCTCTTTACTTGTTGCTGTTCCAGCTTCAGAAACAGACTTTTTTTTTCACTGCTGACTTTTTAAGAAGCGTTTTTTGGCCAGACTTGGATCACTTTTTATTACATGTCCAGAAAGAAACAAAGACAACTAAGACAAAAAAGAAGTATCCAGTATTTTTCCTTCTACATTTATATATTCACTAGAAGTTTTTGAGCAGAAAACCACTGGATTATTGTGTTGATTTTGGCTGGGATAGAGCTAATTTTCTTCTTAGTAGCCAGCATGGGGACATGTTTTGAATGTATGTTGCAACAGTCTGATACTCAGGGACATTTTCATTATTGCTGAGCGGCACTTGCATGGTGTCAAGGCCTTTTTTGCTTCTCCTACTGCCTTGCCAGCAGGGGCAAGAATGGGGCAGGGAGTGGAGTTGAAAGACTTGTGAGGAGACACAGCCGGGAAAGCTCACCCTACCTGACCAAAGGGATGTGGTGAATGACCCTGGGAGTCCAAGGACTGAATTCCTTGTTCTGCTTTGCATGTGTATGCATTTTGCTTTCTCTGTGGAACTATCTCAACCAATGCATTTTCTCACTTTTACTCTCTTGGCTCTCTCCCCTATCCTACTGCCAGCAAGCAGCAGTGTGGTGCTTAGTTGCCAGCTGGGGTTAAACCCCAAAAATGGTATAATCTAAAATGAAGATGAGGAAGAAGAACTGTATCACCTCTTCAACACCAGTGAAATGAGGAACCATTGAAGAGAATATCTGATTGTGCAATTCTACACTGTAATAATGGCAATACTCAAGGATATTAAACCTTACCTGAACCTAACCTAAAACTTCAATGTGGTTTTGAGTAACTTTCCATGACTGTTTTCCAAGGCAACTTCCAGTAACTTCTGCAGGTAAACTACTGCCATGGTGACCTTTAGTAATAGCGAAGAAACACAGGCAAATGGTGAATTTCTGGACAAGGCTTTGCTCAGACCTGAAGGTCACAGCAACCTGTTCAGTGCAATATTTTGTTTCCATCTGTTTGAATCTGTTCCTTGAAACTCACAGTTTCCTAATCTGTGGTCAAAATGCCCCTGAAGAGAAAAAGTCATATTAGAAAACAAATTAGTTTGAACTACTTATGGCCAAATTTACCATTATTATTTTAAAGATTGGGAAGAATGCTCCTGTGGAAAGCTGAAGGATGGAATTTTCGCTAAAGGTGTGCCTTGTTGATATTCTCAGAGCTCGGCTGCTTTCCCTGAAACCAGTCTGTGTGTGAGGATAGGTCGCTATGCTTTCTCTGCCATTAACAGTTGAATTAGACATGCTACTAATTAATAACTTAAAGCAAATGTATTAAGAATTATGTCTATCTTCCATCACTCAGAAAATTTTGTCTTAAAATCTTCTAATTTTTTTTACTGGATTTTAATAGTAAAATCCCAGTGTGATTTTTTATGGTTTTGAAAGGTAACAAATTACTTCAATCTTGTATACTTAAACTTGTCTCCTGATTAAAGCAAACAGTAGGATTTAATCTAATAGGACACCTGGAATGTGCAAAATACTATTAGTTTGTTGATGCTATTACTAAGAAACAAGCCCCCTCATCTTATGAATCAAACAGAGGGCACTGGTTCCCCAAATGCTAATTGAAACAGAAACAGTTAATGAAATAACATTTTAACTTGGACTAATGAAAGAAATCTTGGGGCAGTGGAATGTATTTCTGTGGATTCCTTTAACTTCTCACCCCTGACAGAAAGGTAAGTGACATTTTAATTATTGTGTACCACCTGAGGTTTCCTGCCTTCTGCTCCAGATCCACTGTCTGAACATTTTCTCCAGCCCCCTGCAGTAATTGGTCCTCAACATGTATGTCTGCTCCTGGCATAGATACAATACTTTACTTCTTTTCACCTTACATATGGTGCATAAATTAAAAAAAAAAAATAGGAAAAAAATTGCTAGAGCAGCAATCAGACCCTTGTGAAAAGCCATTGTCATTAACTGCAGAACTCAGACTTTCAAAATCAGTGGTAATTTGTTTGTCTGTTTCAGATTTCCACCCCTTGTCCCCCCAAAAGGAAGTCTGTACTTGCTGGTGTAGTTGTACTGTTTTGACCATTTACAGACAAAAAGACAGATTTTATACACAAAAACGTCTCTCTGCCTGCTCCAGTACAACCAGGTGCACCAGGTGAAACTCTCCTGGCAAAGATGTCATGTCTCTAGTTGATATTTCAGTTCTAAAATAGATGGTGGGAGCTGAAATGGAATTTTATCTTCCTGTCATGATTGTGTGCATTCCCAGTTTTCAATATTATAATATTTTAATATTATAATATTTTAATATTATAATATTATAATATTATAATATTTATAATATTATTTACAGGTTGGTGTTCCAGCTCTCGCACCTGCCCTGCCTGCATTGCTCACTTGGCGAGTGCTGCCCTGTGTCCTGGGAGAGGGAGGGAAGCTACCAGAGCTGGTCTTTTTAACCTTTGTGCTCCATCTGACACGCTTTGTATTGTGGTTACACTGAGACTGGGACTGTAGGTAGAATAAATACAGCATTAGCTGCATTTGAGCCCTGTAAACATGGCCTTGAGCAGTAAAGGAGATGCAGACCAGTCACTGAACAGCCTTGGGGCCCAAGCTCTCACTCAGGCCAGTGCAGGCCTCCTTGGGGCCAGGGCTTCAACTCCTACCCTCCCACTTTCTAGGGAATAAGAGCTGTTCATCCAAGAGACTGCTGTAGGAGATGCTATTGGTTGAGTCTACACCAAAGTGATCTCTCTGGATAGGGAAGAGGATCAAACAAGTGTAAATCATGATCTCTTAATAGCAGCCAGCCATCAGGATCCTCCTCTGAGACAGGAGAAGCTGGTATAATTGGTCTTCTTCCCTGGACAATATGTGTTATCAGTGCTGGATTCGAAACAACAACAAACCCCAGAGCGCTCAACTCCTCTTCCTCTTCAGTAAGTAGGTATATGGTCTTTCAGACAGCTAAATTCTGTGATTTGTTCCAGGTCAGGAGAGGAGCAATGCAGGTGGAGTTGTCATCCTTCTGTCGGGGGTGGCCACCTCTTTGCCCTCATCTACTAATTGGCTCCCTCAGCTAATCTGAGTGAACTCTCCCCCTTGTTAATGGGCTGTGCTTTGGTGGATACAAAATGCGTTTGTTTGTTATGCATCTGAATTCCTGCTAACAGATGTAGTTTGCTAGCAAACACATCAATAAGTAAGGTCAATTGTAATTATTTAATGTGTTTGTGAGAAGCATTTAAGGCAGCAGAATGGTTTTGGTGTCTAAGGCTGTTGTTTGGCAAAGATTTCCTTTGGTGGAGTTAGCCTTTAAGTCAATACTTAATGACCCAAACATGTCCTGAATCTCAAAAGTAGCAGCCATTCTGCTCTTAATAAAAATCTATTCTGAAATGTCTTCTGGAAAAAAAAATAAATAAAAAAATCAATGTTTTTGATTCAAGAAACACAATCGAAAGTTAAGAATAAAATAAAGTAAGTAATGAACATATATTCACATGGAAAAAGCCTTATTAACACAATTGAAGTAGTTGGCACATTAGCATGCACCATAAAAATTGGCAAGAATCTCAGCTGGAAAGGATGTAGGAGCTGCAGTTTGAATTTGCAGCAAATTTAATGTTCTGATGCTCTGTTAGAAATCTGGCTGTGTTGCCAAGCTCTGATGCAACACAGACTCATTCAACTGGTTCAAATTTCTTCAAATAATTTTGATAGCTTAACTTGATAGTGTCATGCTTTAGGGAAGTGCTTATTGCCTGTCTACCACATTCTGCGCCAGGTCAGGCACTGATCATCCCACGGTAAGGCAGAAACTCTACATTGGGCTAAATCCAGCACAAACCATCAGGATAAAAAAATGTATCTATTCCACAGAATCAGGAGTCCTGAACTTCTTCTCACTGTGTCCTCAAACTTGTAGAGAATGTTGCTTCTCAAGCAATTCTCATAGCCTTGTTATTCTCTGGCACTTCATGAACCTGCTGTGATAATCTCAAAATAATTTAAAGACACCTTTCTTGCATCTAGTTACTGAAAAAAAATTACTACCTTTTAGAAGGACTAATGAAGATGAAGAGGTGAAAATTTCATTAGTTGATTAAATTATCTCTCTTATAAATGCTGTAACATTAAACTTTCATTTGCCTTTGTATTTTAATAAATTGTATTATTTATAAATGAGAAGCACTGCAATTTTTTCCCTAGTCTTGCTTAGTCTGCTGAAAATAGACTTTTGTAAAGCTGAAAATGAAGACTATTTGCTTGTGTTACTGTTTTGTTTTCTCATGGCTATAGTCACCTCATTAGTAGCAGTTAATTTAATTCGGCATCAAAAACATCAGTTTATTGCAAACCTCAAATTATCTGAACATGCTCAGTGAGATAATTGATTTTCTCTAGTTTGTTTCTCACTGTGTATTAAGACAAAGCTTCAACTCTTCTACTGCTAAGCTTGAATTTGTGTTGTATTGGGAAGTATGCTTTGTTTCCAGTTTTTCAGAAATGGTGCTGTCACTGAACTTGATAATGTTGGTCCTACAGGTCAATATTAATTCTCTCATAAATTTGAGATGTCTACTGACCAAGTTTCTTTCTCATTGCTAGAAATGAGGCTCTTTTTTTTTTTTTATCATCCTTTGAATAAGAGCCTGTGAACTTGCTTTCCCTGCAAATTTATTCTCAGGACACTTGCAAGTTCTCTTTGTCCTGATTGTTCTAATTCATCTAAATCTTTGTATTAACTTGTCCCTTTCTGTTGAATAAAAAAAAAATATTCGCATATATATAAATTTACTACACAGCTACTACTTTGTCTGAACCTTTTTTTTTACCTTGGAGAGGTTAATTCTTTGCTACAAATTTATGCATCTGTAAGTGTTCAGACTTTAACTGTTCCCTGTTGACTTTCAGGAAATTTTTCGTTTGAGCTTATCATTGACAGACCAGGATATATCAACATAACATATGCTAGGTTTTTGTAATCAGAGCCATGTTCTGTAGCTGTATGTGACATTGATGGAGTTATGCTAACAAGAGAAATCCTTGCTGTGTAAATCTCAGTTGCAGCATTGGTGGTGGGTTTGTATGTCCAGAGGAGAGTACAAGGAATACAAACAATCTCCAGAACTAGAGGGTCACATTATTTTGGTGGTACCAAACTGCTGGTCCACCAATGTGTCTTATAAGGGCACGTGGAACAGAAGCTCCTGTCATGTTCTGGTGAAAGATGTGCACAATTGCATCTTCTTTCAACCCCTGCTTTCAATTGGCCATTGAATTTGATGTGCATGGTAGGTATTCAACATCTTTTAATAAGCACTTTTACAAAGATGCAGTTATTCACCGCTTTGAAGGCTGTGATGTCTAGCCAGCATTGACCTCCACCCTATAATTAATGAGGAGCTCAACAAAAGAAAGTAATAAAAATTGTAGATGCCAAGCATTTCTTTTATTTTTATTTATCAGCCACTAGAGATGGAATAACGAAATGTAATTTAGTTAAGTAACCATTGCATAGTCCATCTTAGCTCTTGCAGAAATTGATTTCCCAACTGATCCAATAGCAAGTGATTTCTTGGAGACACAAATCTGCCATCCCTCTTAGCTGAATGACTAATCCATGCACTGGCTCAGGGTTAAATTTCATCAGAAGCAGAGCTTGCTTGTCCTCTCTCTGAAATCATTTGGTGTTTCTTATGTTGTGGTTTGGTTTGTTTGTTTGGGTGGGTGGGGAGAGAGAAAGGAAAGGGATTGTTCATGTTTCAAAACAGGCTGAGAAGAAATGATCATCTGATCTTTTGTAACCAG